AACCGTCGACGATCAGGCCAGTGGCTTTACAAGGATCAAGCCCCACGACATTTTCCCAAGCCGAAGCAGCATGGAAAGAAGGTCATGGTGCTGTTTGGTGGTCTGTAGTCGGGCTGATCCACCACAGCTTCATGGATCCGGGAGAAACCGTAACAGCCGAAAAGTACTGCCAGGAAATTGACGAAATGCATCGAAAACTCCAGCTCATGAGCTCGGCACTGTTGAATAGGAGAGGGCCAATTCTACTCCACGACAACGCTCGGCCTCACGTCGCACAACTTACCCTGAGAAAATTGATGGAGCTAGGCTATGAAGCTCTCCCGCATCCACCATATTCCCCAGACCTTGCTCCCATAGACTACCATTTCTTTAAACATCTCGACGCTTTCTCAAGGAGAAATGCTTCAAAACCCAACATTATGCTGCCGCGGCATTCGACGACTTCATCGCCTCTAGATTTCCGGACTTCTATGCGAATGGGATACTCGAACTTGTTTTTCGTTAACAAAAGTGTGTCAATAGTGATGGTTGTTATTTCGATTGATGAAGTTTCGTTCAAGCCGAGATATATGCATTTGAAGTTTGAGGCGCAAAACCGCAAGAACTTTCTTCACGACCTAATACCAACATGTTTGACGATTAGATCAGTTGGGATGGAAATGGATTACGATCTGCGTCATAGAGGACGCGAAACGTTGTCGATAGATTAATGAGTTCCACAATACAACAAATTATCAAGTGAAGAGAGACACCTCAGGTTGCGCTTCACTGTTCATTTCGGTACAGGGATGAATTGGATAAGAAGCGGTCCGCTCTACTTCACTGTATGGTAAACCCGTCCAATACCTTTTCGAGATTCGAGAGCACATGTCAGAAAAAAATCATGAGCATTACAATACTTGTTATTTTTTCTGCACATGCAATTTCTTCGAGGTTTAGTCAAACATGCCTGATTGTACCTATGTAATGGTGGTGAAATAGTCTTTTCTAGTAATGCGACAATTGCTGGAAATTCTTAGTCGATGTGTCTTGTAGAAAATACTGGCGTTGCAGTATGTTACATGTCGTACCATATAAGTCTCATTTTTCCTTCACCTTTTTCTTGAATCAATGCCTGGGATTAGAACAAGGAAGATGCTATATTGGCGAGGGAAGCCGGGTCGCAGTGGCTACTTAATATGAGATCTACACTGCTTCGCATAATGATACAGCCACCCGTGGATTTCATCAAAAC